TACTGCTCGCTTGACTCGATTATCACAATTATTTCTCTTCAATCTATCTCCGGCTTGTATACTTAAAAAGAGGGCGTCTAGCAAACGCTGGGACATTCGTGAGGTTGCCCGATAAGTCACGATCCTTCTAGATACTCCAGCTGGTATGCTCCCAGCGTCGTGCGACTTCCGCTGTCGTAACTATTTCAATAGATGGCGCGACCTGTTTCATATTTTTTCAAGACAGATTTTTGAGCTTTTTTTTTAAAACGGTGCAATTTCTTACATTGCTTGATTGTTGTCAGACAAGTGAATGTTTTTAAAAACTTGAAAATGTGTTTATCAACGTAGCTTGTTTCAGTTGATGACCTTAGATAGGAACTTGTCTAATTTATTTATGGTGAAAGGCTTAGGTCATAAAAATGAAAACAGGTAAGTTAGAAGTCGAATTCAATCGTCAATAGATAAGTGCAACGAGGTCAGTGATCTCCACGAACTTCACGTGCTTAATCAGATTCTCACTATAACAGTCGTTATTCGTGAAAACTGATCCCTATTATGTATGTCGTATCCAAGCTGGCCTGAGGAGCACTGGTATTGCGCGAAAGGCATCGGTGGCACTAAATATAGCAGATGTAGTATGGCTGACCTATTATATAATCTTCTTTGCTTTAATATCGAAACGCATCCTTGTCGTAAAATACAAACTTTAAACGCATGCGCTTACTTATTATCTGAAACAGTGATTATGAAATATGTACATGTTTGGTAAATTATAACATTAGTCTGATATTATACAAGAGAACTACATATAAAATTTCTGACGAGTGTAATGTAATAGTCTGTATAACATCCACATTACGGCACACAAAAAACAACAACAAACAACGTGGATACCAATTTATTTATTTAAAAGTAGAAGCTGTTTAAAGTAACAACCTGCAAATATCAGGAAACTACAAAATATGTCATTTTTTCACACGTTTATAAATTTTTAATGATGGGTGAGGAAACATCGTGGAAAGAAATAAAACCTTCAATTATCATATGCACTGTTGTCTGTCAGTAATTATGGACGAAACTATAATATTGATATACAGCTATCACGCCTTTTAATCATTAATAAAATCAAAGATGATTGAAATAACATTTCTCGAGTGTAAAACAAGGCACTCGAGAAATATGCAACTCGTTAACAGCCCAATTGGAGATGTTACGTTGTTTTCGTCATACGATTGGGTGATCCTTAACGTTACGTCTTACACTACCCTGACCTATTTGCTAACTAAGGTTGCGCAATATAGATTTAAATTTCAAAGTGTCGCTAATAAGTAAGACTAGCAAAAAAATTTTGTACAGATTTTAAAAAATGATTTAATTTTTTAATTCTTAAGAAATATTTCTTGATAAAATTTTTTAATCTCATAATTCTGCACGTTTTGTTGACCCAAAAGTGTTTAAAACATATAATTTAAGTTACTAGTTTTAAAATAGTGATAATAATACATTTGTATAATATATATTAAGTAATGAACAATTACTATGATAACTTGCCTTTTAAAACGAGTAACACTTATAAGTTTGTAAGCATGACATGTTAAAAATGAGAAATATGCCTATGTATTATGCAAATAATATATTCGTGCGCCAAAAGCATCTGATCTATTTGTACATGCAAAAAATATTTTGGGTAAAAGAACAGGAGAGCATTAAGGATAAATGTATACTGAAAGATTTTGCAATATATAAGATATAGAATTATAGGAGAAGAATATTTGATTTCAGCAGATATTTTACTAAATTTTAACAATTATATCTGAAGGAACACGCAAGAAACGTAAACAAAACGTAAAATTCAAGGCAAGATGTCTAATAGTAAAAAATAGTTCTTTCTACGTTCTGCGTGAGTTTAAAATAAGAGTAAGAAGACACACTAGACAGAGATAATAATATTAGTGTTGTGACTATATAAAAGCAGTGCTTGAAGTGAGGCGGGATACCATCCCACTTCTTTTCAGGAAGGCCCGACACCATCCCGCTACCTTTTAGTAGACTGTAAGCTTCTTAGAAGGGAAAGGTTCAATAGACGATGCACGAATGAGACAAAGTAGTGCATGAATGGAGCGAATGAACCCTCTTCTTTTGGGCCCAGTCAGTATGACCGAGTTTGTAACCATCACAGTTTCCATACTGTCACTCGTAACTGTATACATCTGTTTATACTTAATTTTATTGTTTCATTGTCCTTGGAATCTTGTATAATTAATAATCCCGCCATACAAGTTGTAAATCACTAGGCGAACGTGCAGCTCTCGTTATCATATCGAATTACCTAATGCTCACGCGTATACCTAGTGAATAATTATTATTATTATTATTCATTATCTTACCTAATAAGTTTATAATCTTGACATTTTAGTTACTTTCATAATAATAGCTAGAGAATGCATATGAAAAAGAAGAAATATTGTACCCAGTTTCGAAAATTTCATACCCCCCTCCCCATTTCAAACGCTGTATAAAGGTTTTAGAAAAAATTACCTTTTTCTGTGACATATTCTCTCTAAAATTTATCAAAAAATGGAAAACTTATTTCATACTACTGGACGGCAGACCTTAAAAAGCAAACCCTATCAAGTGGCTAATAAACTAAGCCCTTCCAAACAAGTTTTGTTTATCAATATTTACGTGTAAATCATTGCTAATGATAAACTAGTGATTTCGAAAATTGACTGTTTGTCTGTAAAATCTTCTTATGAAACATCCTTAAGTCTTCGTATTTTCGAAACTTGTATACAAGCACATAGCAACCGTAATGAAAAGTAAAAGTTTAGTCAACGTCCTTTTCAACAAGAATTAAACTTCCAGGAGGCAAAGAGTATACTGTCCCCAAACTTGGTGACAATCTCACAACCTTCATGCTTTCTGCTTCAGCTGTGGGAACAGGAGATATGGCGCCCTCTGGTGTATCAACACCTTTTTTTATTTTCTCTTCGGCCCCTTCTGTTTTATCCAGAGTTTCACAACGAGTTGATCCATTTGAGAAATTCATTTGTAACTAGAAAGTAAATGTAAACAGGTTAATATATGAAAAGGAATATATAAAATTTTTCAATAAAAATATTGTTACGTCTCCGTTTGTTAATTAACTTTCCGTAACTTCGTTCCGACGAAACTTAA